CAATATCACGCATTTGCTTGCTGTCAACCGTTAAACTGCGCATGTGCGCATATGACGTCAATGTTTATCAACATGAAACACTTATTATATATCTATAACCGTCAACTTTATATATAGTAAAGGTTGTAAGTGTAGTGAAGCGATAATTATGTGATTAGAATGTAGACGCACGCCGGTCGCAGGGACACGCCTCGGACACTTTTCGTCACTCGCCTCGTTATAGGCAGTTCGATACTTGTACTATACAAGGTACGTAGATCCGGTGTAGCGCGAAATTTCTGACTTGCGAAATATCTGAGATAGGATGCGTATGCGCATGCGTACGCGTATGCGCATGCGCACTTCGCATGCGTCCTGACCCGACCAATCACAGCTCGTCTTTGTGTGCGAAATTTCTGACCTGCGAAATAAATGATATAGGATGCGTATGCGCATGCGCACTTCGCATATATTCTCAAATATGGCGATTTCCACTTCAGCTAAAACACCAGCTCAATACAAAAAAGCAGGAGGAGGAGGAGGAGGGGAGAAGGTGATGGAGTAGGGGGAGGAGGAAGAGGGGAGAAGGTGATGGAGTAGGGGGAGGAGGAGGAGGAGGAGAAGGTGATGGAGTAGGGTGAGGAGGAGGAGGGGAGAAAGTGATGAGGTCGAATAAAGGTCATGGAGAAGGAGTAGGGGCAGGAGGAGGAGGAGGAGGAGGAGGAGGAGAGGGAGAAGCTGGTGGAGAAGGAGGAAGGGGAGAAAGAAGAAGGTGGTGGAGGAAGGGGAGAAGCTGGTGGAGAAGGAGGAGGGGGAGAAGCTGGTGGAGAAAGAGGGAGGGGAAAAAGAGGGGGAGAATGGAGCTGGTGGAAGAGGAGGGGAGAAGCTGGTGGAGAAGGAGGAGGGGGAGAAGCTGGTGGAGAAGGAGGAAGGGGAGAAGGAGGGGGAGAAGGGAGCTGGTGGAGGAGGAGGGAGAGAAGGGAGAAGCTGGTGGAGAAGGAGGAGGGGGAGAAGCTGGTAGAGAATGAAGAAGGGGAGAACGGAGAAGGTGGTGGAGAAGGAGGAGGGGAGAAGCTGGTGGAGAAGGAGGAGGGGAGAAGCTGGTAGAGAATGAGGAAGG